GTCGGGCCCTCCGCGCGTAGCGTGGGGGGGGGGGGGGGGGGGGGGGGAGGAAAGCTGAGATGGAAACAATTCTCCAATTGTCTGAAACAAGTAATTTACCTACATGTACTTTACAGCATAAGCAGGAGGCACTTTGTATTTTCAGTTCATGTTGGTTACAGTGAAGACCAGAGCCCTGATACCTGTCAGATTGCTAGCAAGGTTTTTTGACCTGAGGTGAAAATGCACAAGAATAGTGACAGCAGCAACCAGTATTATCTAGGAAGTTTTTGTAGGGTCCTCCACGACAGGCAAGAATTTACAGACAAAAGGACACAACTCACACTATTTGCCTACCTGAAAATCAGCGCATTAACCAAACTGTAAGTAATATTTCAACAGCTGGGACACAAGGCTAGGAATTGTATCTCTACAGTTATCCATGCTTTCTCCACAGCTCATGAATAGCAATGTAACTACTGATACCCTTCTCATCAGAGCAGTTTTGGAGACAAGACAGAATGACTGCACTTTAAGGAACAAAGAACATCGATACAAGCACATATTTGTCAGTTGATTGTAAACTATTTACTGCAAAAGCCTCAGTGATCAGAGGGTTTGCCCACAGCAACTCATTCCTCGCTCTGGTCTCCCTGTGGGTTCTGCAGGTCAGAAATGAGGCACACCTGCAGAGGTTTCTGGATGCCCTGACTCTACGTATTCCTACCACTATGAATTTGAAGCATATATTTTCAGCGGTAGACAGCTATGCTTTAGGACAGTCTAAATGGACAGAAAAGCTGTATCTAGATTAAACAGCAGATACACGCTGCAGTGTCTCTCCCAACTACCAGTTGTGCCATAGGGGAACCTGGCCAGAGTGGGGTGCAGCTGTCCTCCAGCCTGCAACCCAAGAGACACATCCCACCAAGACTACAACATGGATTAGCACCTGGTACATGCAGATGCCTTCTCATCTCACCTCAGAGGAGTCGCATGCCAACTCTTTCAAATACAGCCAGAGGGGGAGCTCAGGGTGATGAACATCAGGCCGTGTCCATCTGCACAGAGGAAGCTGTGTTTGCAGCACAATCGTCCCTTTTCCCATCCCCTGAACAAAAGCACGCTTTCTTGAGGCAAAGGGGTGTCACTTAGAATCACAGAATCGTTTAAGTTGGAAAAGACCTTTAAGATCATCAAGTCCAACCATTAACCTAGCACTGCCAAGTCCACCACTAAACCATGTCCCTAAGCACCACATCTACCAGTCTTTCAAATACCTCCAGGGATGGAAACTCAACCACTGCCCTGAGCAGCCTGTTCCAATGCCTGACTACCCTTTCAGTGAAGAAATTTTTCCTAATATCTAATCC